AGGGAATATGGAGAAACTGGTCACTGGCTCCTAAAGCTTCTTCTACAAAGAGTCATATCACTTTTGCTTACATTGCTTTGGCTTGAGCAAGTCATAAGGTGAAGTCTCACACTAATAACAGAAAAGTGGATTTTTCTCCCAAGAGGGTTAATGAGTAATTTGCTGTAGTCATAATACAGTACACTACATTTTCTGTCCCTTTCTTTCACTTATAATAGCTGAACTCTTCAGCTACCACTTTCTGCCTCTGTTCCCCAAACTGCCTGGAGTAGTCTTCAGCTGTGAATATCACTCTGTGTTTCTATTCTGCATATTTGTGTTTTCTTGATGTTAGCCCAGCTGTCTTTAGCTTTTCTGTTTTTTTACTTTTGTGCCTCCTTGTTATATGTTCAGAGTATAGGAAAATCCCTCAAATAACAAATTCAATATGCCATCTTGCTCAAAATGTTACCCATAATTTTTGTTTGTGTGTGTAAAAAAAAATCAGATTCCACAAATCCATGATGAAATCCCTGCTCTTTCCCACAAATCATCCCTTGGGTTCCATGTGAGTTTCAAAATATAGAACTAACGTCATGGGAGTCTGGTAGGAAATGAATCTCTGTACTCTCCAAAACTTTGGTGTTAACTGATCAGATTGAATTTCCATATAACCAAAACGCATTCCTTAGCCTGAAGCGTTATCTCATTAGTAAATATAAATTGGTGCTTATTCAGCTGAGCAATGCAATTTTTGGTTTAATAAAAGCCTAATCTTGCTCATTTGTTTACTCTGTTTACTCCCTAAAGGCTAAAGCTTTGTGACTAAATACAGTGCTTAATAAACAGAAGAAAAAGTATTAATTGTAAGCACTGCCACATTCCTAAGAGCTGAATTTGGCTGCAGACCAAATGGGCTCTTGGGTAGAACCTACTATGTTGCCCTCAAGCTTAGACTTCCAGCTCTCATAAAATGGATCTTGGGCTCAAACAAACACATTTTTAGAATAATAGTTTTGCCAGAGCAGATCGGCTCAGCTAGCATAAATCTTCCCTTGTAATTCTCTTCCTCTGTCAACCTTTACATCTCTGCATACTTTCTTCCTCTAATGCATCTCTCTTCTGTTCACAATAGTGGTTACTCATCCAAATGTGTCATTGGTGCTGGACAAAAGAGAACTAATCTTTACTTCTTTTTCTATTGAAATCTCACGTTTCTCCAGGTTAACCATCATGTAGACAGAAATTAATTTCTTCTCCACGGCTGACACTGAGAAAGAGGGAATAAATTGCATGTGTAAAAAATGCAGGAAATGAAAGTCTTCTAATCGATAAAGTGCAGACCTCTCTGTAGCTAGTCTTGTCTGGAGTAACTGTCTCCCCATTACTGAAGATCTTCAAACAAATGTTTGATGATCATTTGGTATCTCAAGGGAAGAGGTATTGGGTGTGTGTGTGTGTGTGTGTGCGCGCGCGCGCGCGTGCGCTTCAGAACTAATCCCTTTATAAAAAGCTTTTTAAAAATTATTTTGTATTTTATTCTTTTGACTATCCTTTATTCAATATTTGCCATTTTATTTCACCTCTTATACTTAAAAATATATATTATGTTCTTCTTAATTCTAAAAGAAGTTCCTTCTTTCCTTCAATTATGTTTCTCTCTGAAGTCTCATCCCTATCTTTTCCTTTACCAAAGAATGCATGTTGAGTTATGTATATATATATAATTTTTTTGAGAAGGAGAGAGATAGGGGGAGAGGGGCAGAGAGAGAGAGAGAGAGGGAGAGAGGGAGGGAGAATTTTAAGTAGGTTTCACGTTCAGCACAGAGCCTGATGCAGGGCTGGATCCCACCACCCAGGGTTCATGACCTGAGCTGAAATCAAGAGTCAGACGCTCAACTGCCTCAGCCACCCAGGTGCCTCTAGTTATGTATGTTCTTAAAAGCAGCATACATAATTCTTCCCATTGAACTCTGGTCAGTGTCCCCCACAACTGTAATGAGAACTCTAAGACCTATGAGCTTGTCAAACAGGGTTACATGTGTGCTCCCATGCTCATGTGAGGTCATGGGACATGTTGCATCCTTCTGAAGTATAAGTTCTACCCAATAAGACATTGAAAACATTATGCGGTTAATAAAACTAACACGAATTATGGATATCACTGCAAAATCTTCATGAACTTAATATTAAAAGAAGATCCTAAAGCCCCACTGTAGCCCCAGATTGCCAGACTCCTTCTCGAAGCCTATTGGGTCCACCATAGAGTAGTAGCTTAGTCATTTTATGGGTGAGACCAAGAGCTCTGCAGTGAGATTTGAAAGTGCTAGGGCAGTCTGGGCCCCATGGACTCTCAGAACTAATCAAATGAAGCTTCCCTCCAGGACAAACACCCACACTGATGAGAAACTAATGGGAAAGAACCCAAACTTATCAAAGAAGCAAAGGAAAGAAAATTTTGTTTTTGTTTGTTTGTTTGTTGTTTTTAAATAAGGAAAAGGAACAGACACAGCATTACAGTAAATGTGAGGTCATATTTTTTTGTTGTTGTTATTACTTTGCAAAAATGACAGGAGAGGGAGCTCTAGAGCCATAATGCTGGGAAAACTGCTCCGACCCACCCACCTTCCTAAAAGTAAAAGGAGACTCCAGAGAAGGAGCAGAAGGTGGAGGAGGAGCAGGAAGAAGAGAATGAGAAATGGATCATGGTCGATTTCCATACAGAACTATTATAAGTCATTATGAGGAAGAGGAAATAAAGGCAGAATGATTCAGGCAATGAAATTATGCCAAAAAGATACATCCAAAACAATAGAAAACTACAACCCAACATATTTTTAAGTAGGTAAGATAAATAAAGAAGGTACGAAAGAATAAAATCTACCAAGATTAGGAAAACTCCAGATTGAGGTGATTAGAGAAATTAAACTCTAAAAAGGAAACACACACACACACACACACACACACACACACAAAGAAAATAAACATTTGTATCAGTCTTTATTTTCATTCTGTTGTATTTAACACTTGATTTTCTGGAACTCTCTCCTACTCTGGCCACCAGTAGATGACAATCCTAATTCTCATCCAGCCACTTCTTCCTGCTCTGCCTCAGGGGCTCCTCTCTGTCATTGCCACAGAAAAGGGAGATTTCCTATGGCTCTCTCTTGGCTACCTCTTTCAGTTCACTCTACTCAGTGGCTGCAGCAACTTATAAAATTGAATACACTTCAATGTGCCTGCATTCCTAACATGCCCTATTCATGACCTGACCCATGTATGACCAGCCAGCTGCCTTTTTCCTGTGTCTCACTGGCACCTCAGATGGACCAGGTCCAAAGTCACTACTTAGCGTTTAATCTATGCCTCATCTAAAGTTCTAAAGCTTGGCTGGGGCGCCTGGGTGGCGCAGTCGGTTAAGCGTCCGACTTCAGCCAGGTCACGATCTTGCGGTCCGTGAGTTCGAGCCCCGCGTCAGGCTCTGGGCTGATGGCTCGGAGACTGGAACCTGTTTCTGATTCTGTGTCTCCCTCTCTCTCTGCCCCTCCCCCGTTCATGCTCTGTCTCTCTCTGTTCCAAAAATAAATAAACGTTGAAAAAAAAAATAAAGTTCTATAGCTTGGAACTTAGATTCTTATCTCCCAAAGCATCCATCTCTGTTCTTTTCCTCATGCTGCCACTTAATCAAACATCCTTGTCTGTTTATTTTTGCTTCCAGATTATTTCTCAAATCTGTTCCCTCCTGTCACATTTAACTACTACTGTGCCAGGTCTTTCTATACCTCTGAAGTGGACTCATGCAATAACTTACTTGCCTTCTCTGACTTCATTCTGTCTCAACTGCAAATGATGTTGTGTAGCACAAGGACACTATGTTTAGGGGGTTCCATTTACATAAAAAATAATGTGAGTGTTACCACTCAGTGTTGTGTTTCTGTACTGGCTCTGCCTTCTTCGAGGGCAATAGGTCCTTAGCTTGTTTTTGTTCTCAGCCCTATGGAAGGAATTAAGCATTTTAATGACAGTCCATAGAAACTACAATAGAGTAACTATTAAAATAATTGTGACTGCATTAAAATATCTCAAAATGTCCCTAAAATTGTTCAAGATGTCACCCTCTAGAACTGCACTGCTGTTCACTGCCCTTTGAATACTCTTTTATATGCATGAGGTGGTATCTTTGAGTAATTGCTTGAAAAAAAAAATATGCAATACCTTTTTCCCCTTCCTCATAGCACATCGCACCCTGATATTTGCAACATCACAAAACCCACTCAGGTCGGTGCAGACCAAGATAAAAGCAAGTTGTAGTGTTAGGTGAATGAAACAATCCTACTGACAAAAGACCTTTCTGTACTAAAACAAGAGAGAGAGAAGGTAGTCTCAATTTGAGGAAACATTACTGGATTTACATGTATATAAGGCCGTACACAAGAGACTATAAACTCTGAACAGAATTTCACACAAATCTATACATTAGTCAAATAAGTAACAATGAAAACCTCTCTCATTTCCTGTAGAGATGAGTGGATGCACCCTGTTATTGTCTGCTGTATACTTATGAGAGACCCTCGGACTAATTTGTAGGTTCCTGTTTACAGTTCCAAGGACCAGAAGACCCAAGCCTTGTATCTTAAATTCTGAAGGCGAGGCTTATTATTGGGCCCTATTTTGTTTTCAAGGAGGGCATGGTGGGCAAGAAGCACCTCTCTGTCAAAGAAAATGTCAGTATTTTTTAAAAAATGTTTCTTTATTTATTTTTGAGAGAGAGAGAGCATGTGTGTGCAGAAGAGGGACAGAGAGAGAGGGAGAAAGAGAATCCAAAGCAGGCTCCATGCTGGAGCTGTCAGCACACAACCCCACATGAACTTGAACTTGAACTGGACTTGAACTCATGAACTGTAGATCATGACCTGAGCTGATGCTGATGTCGAGCCAGCCAGGCACCCCTCATCATTTTTTTTAATGACAGCAGATAGCATCACTTGCAGCAACAACAACAACAAACTCAGATTTATTAGAAACTCGGAGTAGAAGCTGGATATGTGACCTACATCGAAGCCAACAATGGTGCTGTGAAGAGGAAAAGCGGGTATGATACTTACGTCACAGAATTCGACCTTGAAGTGGAAGAGTATGTCACCTTACCAAAAGGGGATATTCACAAGAAGAAAGAAATCATCCAGTATGTGTCCTTGCATGACTGGATGTGGCCAACACATGGCCCTGGGGGGGAGGGGGGGGAACATCCTGTCTATGATGGGCAAGTTAATGGAGCCAAAGAAGACCGAAATCACAGACAAACTGCAAGGGGAGACTAACAAGGTGGTGAATAAGTATATTGATCAGGGTATTGCTGAGCTAGTTCCAGGTGTGCTCTTTGTTGATGAAGTCCACATGCCGGACATCGAGTGTTTCACCTACCTGCACTGGGACCTGGAATCTTCTATTGCCTCCATCATCATCTTTGCATCCAACCGAGGCATCTGTGTCATCAGGGATACTGAGGACAGCACCTCTCCTCATGACATCCCTCTTGACCTTCTGGACCACGTGATAATCATTGGGAACATGCTGTACACCCCACAGGAAATGAAACAGATTATTAAAATCTGAGCCCAGACAGAAGGAATCATGAAGAGTTCTTAATACATCTACGGCCCGCCACATGCACATTGAGAATCACTGGCCTACAGAGATTTGGCCAAGTTTGCAATGTAGAACTCAAGCTCTTTGGTAATCTAGGATCAACTTCATTTGTAGTCATATTTCTCAATCCTGCATCCTTTCCCATTCTCCTCACGGCAGAAGGACTAGCTGGGATAGGATCAGCTAGAACACGGAGAATAAGTAACAGAGACACCATGTAAGGAACTGGGGAGTCCCCAAAAACTTTGGGATAATTTGAGGTCAGTCAACCTTTTGATAGTGGAATTAAACAATTGAGAAGATGACCATGCAGAAAACATATCATTGGGCAGTCTGCCAGTCATTTACTGAGTACTTACTCTATGCCATGGAACAGATTAATGTTAACAATGGTGTTAATCAGCATTAGAGTTCTAACAAAAGATGCGGGGACTTAGTTATTGAGGTTGTATTTCTTTAGAAGAGTTCCGTTGTCCAGAAAGTAAGGGAGGTAAAAAGATTTTGGTCTCTTGTAATAACTGGAGTGCCATGTGGGAGACAATATTTTGAGAAATTCAAACAAAGGACAAGAGCCCATACTGACAATACTAGTGGAAGATTCATGCACCACACAGCAATGACTGATTGTCTCTGGGGTTCCTTCTACTCCTGGAAGCCAACTGGGATATTGTAGCAGGCAGTGTCTGTGTAGGATTCTATGCTAAAAAACAGGCTGTTTCCACTGACTCCATCAAGATTCCTCCTTAGATTGCAAGTATGTCTAATCCTTGGCAACGGTTCAACTAGAAAAGTGGCTTCAATGAGCTCAATGAGTTTCAGTGAGCTCCTTTTACTTTCTCTCTTGCCATGATCCTGGTTCCATGCAGGTGCTAACACTTAGGACAGAGGTGCTAGGCCCTGCACAAACTTCTTGGCCCCAGAGAAAAGGCCTAAAATGAATTTCTTATATCCATGTTTGGATTTAACCTTTGACTTCAATGCCTTCATTGAAGTTCTTGCCTTTGATTCTCTTTACTTTCGTTTTGACATTCAAGCCCATTTTCTTTCTTGTCCTTGGATGTGATCTCTCTGTCCTTATCATCCCCTGTAATGAATATTTGTCTTATAGAACCCATTACTGACAACTAAAAAACTATATTCAAATTAACTAAAATCAAGGTAACACTAGAAAAATTTTTCTAATACTACTCTGGGTTTCTATATCTTTGCTGCCCATGGGGTGGGGAGGGGAATCTTTGATTTGGTTAGGATTTTGTTTGTTTGTTTGTTGTTTTAATAAGTGAGAAAGCCCCAGATAAATTATTATGAACCTAATTATTTTTACCTATAGGCAGGAAAAGGAAGCATACTTGATCACTACCATTGACTTGGCTTAATTAAGCATCCCAATAATGAGTATCATTAATTCATTCAACAACTTTTGAATTCCAAGTTCAGGTAATTCACTGTGCCCTATTTTGTGGGGAAGGAGAAAGTGCATGTTGCATATTGAGTCCATTGCCTTTAATTTAGTAAGTACTCAATGTTAGCACTCTTGCTGTTGATCGTCATAAAAATGGTGAATGTGGCACAAATATTACTGACAATCTATTTTCTACACAAAAATATTTTGAAATTATAGATTAGCAACCAGACTACAGAAAACCAAGCAAGATGTATCAAAACTAAGAGAAGAATATCAGGTGATCAAAAAGCCTGAAATGCCAGCCAAACAGGTTTTTTTTAATTTCTTTATTTTTGAGAGAGAGAGAGAGAGCGAGCAAGAGAGCAGGGGATGGGCAGAGAGAGAGGGAGAGAGAGAGAATACGAGCAGGCTCCACACTTTCAGCTGAGAGCCTGACATGGGGCTCCAACTCAAGAACTGTGAGATCATGACTTGAGCTGAAATGAAGAGTTGATGCTTAACCAACTGAGCCATCTAGGTGCCCCCAGCCAAACAGGTTTTTAAATGTGACTGGGAGTCATCTAGTTATATGTTTTTATTTGACTTAACAGTGACCTTCAGCAGACTCCAGATCGTTAGACTTGATGTGGCATGGGCCACTGATGCACAGGGGAACTGGACAAGTCAGGCTAGAAAGGCTGTTACCTAGTAACAATGCCTAACTAAGGTGAAACGATTTGGGGAAGCTGGATGGCTGGAAAAACTTGATTGAGTCTTTTTGAAAGGGCAAAAGCAATTACACTAGGGTAAATGGCCATTTTGTTCACAGGAAGAACAGTGGAATAAAAATAAATGCAACAAAGAGCTCTTAAGACACTAATTCCTGAAGACTGGGTATGTGCTGAATACTCCTGTTATGCAGAGACTAGTGTGGTTCAACAGAGAAAAGTCATTCTTCCAAGATGTGACAACAGTCTGGATGTATCTTGTGAAATCCTTTAAGTGTGTCAATCCAAACACCATGTTTAATTTTGGGAATTTGGAGAAATTTTATCTGTGATGCTGGGATCAGCATGCCCTGGGAATTCGAGTATAGGACTGAAATATACATGAAAACTTATAGTTGAAGTGGTGACTCTATATCATCTTCTTTGCACATTGGCAAGATAGTGTTCAGAACTCTTTGTTTTGTCTTTCTGTCTTTAAAAAATGAGCTGACATATTCCAGATGGAATGAAGGCCATTAGCAGATTGCCAAGCCCTCCAACAATGAATTACAGGCATCATCATATGATAGAAGTGAGGGTTAATCATTGTGTCACTGGTGTCCACAGAGTTGATAATTTTAGATTTTGGGAAAATGTAAAATTGGAATCTTCAGCTGTCTTTTGCCAAGCTACTGAGTGTCAGCACAGAGTCAAATATAACAGAGAGCCGGTGAGAAGTCTGTTTACCTGGGGCAAACATGGCTTATCTTTTAAGAGTGTTTGAAGAGTGCACAGAATTTCTAGGGAGAGCAGTATTCTGGAGGATGCTCATATGTTCCTGTGATATTTGCTTCCTGCGCATATCATTCATGTGATGCAATGGTAAATTCAGATTATCTGTTCCAGTAGACAAATTCAATTTAACACTCAATAAGATTCATTGCTAGCCCGTGCTTTGATTTCTCTGGGTTCCTTTAAATTACCAAAGTGTCTTATATGTAAGCTGCACTGACCAATTTTCATTTGGGGAATATGAGGAAAGCATCTTTTAACAAAAATTAGGAAAATTTCAGCATTAAGCATAGACTTAATTTGCTCTCAGGCTGCATGCTAGAAATAGCAATGATCTGGGTAGAAAGAACGGCAAAATCCATTAGAGGTTATTTGCACTTACTGTGAATTTTTAAAATCAATTTTACTCTACTACCTCATTGATATCACGTATACTTAAAGAGTGTTTAGTGAGGCATTAGGAGAAAGAATAGAGATCACTCGGGACTGAGAAAGGGGAAGTCTTGATGTAGTGCCACAAATGAATATCATCTCAGATAAATGTCAATATCTGAAAGTCAGGGAGGGTGTGCAGCAGCAGAAAGTGGAGCACAGAAGGGTTTGGACATATCTCCTACTTTAGAAGTCAGCCTGGAGCTACTCTGCATCATCTAACTTCAGTGAAAGCAAATGTACAGGAGCACCTGGGTGGCTCAGTTGGTTGGCAGACCTACTCTTGACTTCTGCTCAGGTCATGATCCCAGGTCATGGGATTGAGCCCCACGTTGGGCTCCATGGTCAGCATGGAGCCTGCTAAAGATTCTTTCTCCCTCCCTCTGCCCCCCTCCCTGACTCACACTCTCTTTCTTTTCACTCTAAAAATAATTTTTAAAAACCCCACAAGTGTACAGTTCAAGGTGATCAAATTGGTAAACCTCAGATTTAATAGACTAAACACGCCTACAATAAAGTAAAATCCTAGAGATTATGACAACTGTTCAGCATCTGGCAGATCATTGTCAACTTATGTCTATTCGTATATATTCATTTCAAGACGCAAAGATGTATCTTTCAAATCAGGACTATGTGAAAACACTAGGGTTAATATAGAAGAGAAGGGCCATCCATGAAGCAGTACTATCCACTAGACTCTACTTTGTGATTGTGTTGAATTCTTACAACTATTTTCTGAGGTAACACAAATGCTTGTTTATGGTGGAGGGAATCACAACCTAGAAAGGATTAGAGAGTTTGTCTGAGCCTATGTGACTTAGGTTGGGAGCCAAACTCCTATACTTCTTCTAAATCATTCTACCCTCCAGTAAAGGTACATGTGTTGGATGAATGCAAACATATCTATTGATTTTGTTGTAGTACAACTGGGAAATTAGAGAACTTGACATGTGGGTGTGGAGGTTGGTTTAGTAGTATATTTTGGAAATGCTTAGTTAATATCTTTGTAAATTACATTTAACTATCTCTGCACTTACTTGTGTGAGACTCTACGTGACAGAATAGGTAGGAAAATCCAGTTACCCATCCATCTCCTGATAAATCAATGAAGACAACTGCATTGACAAAAGTATACTTATTTCATCTTTGCTGAAGGGCACATTTTACCAAACATTGGTTCAGTAATTTCACTGGCAAATCTTAGAAATCTTGTTATTTATAATTATTCACCTTAAAGCATTTCTTTCCCCCTTCCTTCCTCTCTCCCTCCTTCTCTCCCTCCCTCCCTCTCTTCCTCTGTCTCTTTTCTTTCTTTTTTTCTTCCTTCCTTCCTTCCTTCCTTCCTTCCTTCCTTCCTTCCATTCTTTCATTCTCCTCTCCCCTTCCCTCTCCTTTTCTCCCCTCCCTCCCTCCTCCTTCTTCTTTCTCTCTCTTTTTGTTTGAAAGTTTATGAGAGAAGTAAGAATGTCTTTGATGCACTTTGAGAAGATTGCAGATGAATAAAGGATGACCTTTGGGGTTTCTTTGGTATTGATGAAAAGAGTGTGGGCTTTTGAGTCAAACACACCTATATATTCAAGCATACATATTTATTAGTTGTATGACCTGGAGCAAATCATTTCAACTGCCTTCTCTTCTATTTCCTTAGCTATAAAATAGAGGAAATAATATACTCTCACAGAGTTGTAGTGAAAGTTAAATGAGATAATGGGTACAAGAGTATTTACCCCAGTATTTTGAACATAGTAAGTGCACAGTAAATGCTACCTACAAAATTACCATTACTATTATTGCTATAATCACACCTGGGAAAATCATTTATTCTCTCCAAACCTCAGAGTACTCTCTTTTAAAGAGAGGCTTAAATAAGAAAGCATGTGTGAAGTATAGCCTTGATGAATGTGAATGACTCTTCAATTCACTTTCATCCAGACACCCTTTGATTGCCAAGTAACTTCCCTTTGTTGGGCTTGGAACTGCAGTCAAAACTGACCCTGTTTCCAGAGTCCTGGCATTCAATATGGCCTGTCATTTTCTGAGAATATACACATTCTCGAATTTACCTTCCCTGACCAAAAAAAAAAAAAAAAAAAAAAAATCAAGTGTGGGATATTAGGTATCAGTTCACTTCCTGCTATGGGACACACACTGCCTTGTCAGGGTTAGAGTATCCCAGGTATAGTGAAGTCAG